TTGAATTTGTGTTGATTTTATTTCACATTTGTGCCTTCCCTAGACTTTGTGTCTCCTGGTGGCAGTGTGCAGAATGTACTGGGCTCTTAACAAAAGGTTGGCAGTATGAATCCACCAGGTGCTCCTGGGAGAAGGATGGGGAGTCTCCCATTAAAATCAACAGCCTTGGAAATCCAGTGGGCCTCCTAGGAGTTGGAATCGACTTGACAGTAACAGTTTTTGTGTGTCCCCTTCTACACACACAGACACACAGAGGTAGGCATCATTTTTCACACAAATTACAGTAACTTTACATATTAATGTATATTGATTTTTTTTTCACTTGTCAATATATCTTTCAGGTGGATCTTGGTAAAATCAGTAGTCAAATCAGTTGTGTGTAAGCTTTCTACCCTTTTTCAAATGAGATTTACACAATAGAATCCAGAAGCAGAGTGAAGCACCTATGGGTGCATGGGTGGGGGCTCCAAAGTCCTGGGTGGCAGTGAGGAGTGTCACAGATATCCCTCGGGACCTCACCCTCATAGATCCTGACTTAGTTGGCCTCATGTGGATCTAGCCTTCTTAGGCCTGAAGAGCTCAGCCGGAAGCCCACGGCTGGAAACTACACGGCCATGTGGGACAGGGCACTTACCTTGAAGTGTTAGGTCTTTTCAGCCAGTGTTTCTCTATTTGTTTAACGGCTAAGCCCACCCCACCCCGCTGTCACAGGTCCATTCTGACACATAGTGACCTGCATGACAGAGCAGAACTGCCCCTGGGCTGCTCAGGATGTCAACCTGTCCTGTTGGGTGGCTGGGGGCTTCAAATGGTTAACCTGGTTGATAACCAAATATTCTAACAACAGTGCCACCAGGGCTCCTTGGATGGTGGCTAACTCAAACCAACCAAACCTTGAGAGCAGTCATCACTCCGATTAACGCTCATGGCGGCCCCCAGTGGGTCCACGCTATAAGTCTTCATGGGAGGAGACCTCAACTGTCTCTCCTGGAACAACTAGCAGCTCAACATCGAACCCACTACACTCCTGGGGCTCCCTGAACAATCACCAAGACCAAACCCCACACTCAGCACCATGGAAGCAGCTCTGACTCAGAGTGACAGACCCTCCATCGCGTGTCTGAGGCTGGGGATCCGGACTCTAACGACAGGAGGCTGCTATCTCCTGTATGTGCTGCTGGATCCACACCACTGGGGCTGGAAGTCTTATTTTTAAATTATTTTTAAAAAATTTTTGAGTGAATGTTTACAAACCATAATGATTTTTTAATGACTCACATAGATTTTGTTTTTTAACATTTATTACAATAATAGTTACAATTGATGTTATTACTTTAATGAATCAGTTTTTTATCAGTCTCTTACTGTATACTGTCCTTCCTTTTTATCCAACTTAACTATTTATTTTTACTTTCCTCTCTCTCCTTTCCTATCCCTGATAACCACTCAAAAATGATGCTATCTGTGTGCAAAGCTTTCTTTGTTGTTGTTAGGTACCATCGAGTCAAGTATGACTCATAATGACCCTGTGATCAGCCAACCCGAGCCCTGCCCTGTCGTGTGCCATCCTCATAGTCTCTGACACACTAGAGCCCACTGCTGAAGTCACCATGTCCATCCATATCATTGAGAGTCTTCCTCTCCTTCGCTGACCCTCCATCTTTCCAAGCATGATGTCCCTTTCCAAGGAATAGGCTTGCTTAAAGACATATCCAAAGTATGAAAGATAAAGCTTCTCCTCCAAGAAGCACTCTGGCTGCACTTTCTCCAAGACATCAATGTTTATTTTTTGGCAGTTCAGGGATATTCAGTGTTCTTCTCTAGCACCACAACTCAAAAGTTTTCTTTAGCTTTTTAAAAAGTGGTCTTATATTGTAATTGTCCTTTTGTGACTGACTTGCACCACACAGCATGATCTGTTCTAGATTCATCTGTTATGTAATGTTTCTTACATTCTGCATGGTTCCTCAGTGCTGCACAGCACTTCACTGCTTGAATGCCCACCGGTTCTTTAACCGTGAGCCCCTGAGGGGCACATGGCTTGTTTCCAACCCTGTGCTGCTGTAAATAATGCTGCGATGAATATGGGTGTGCATACATCTGTTGTTTTCTCACAGCTCTTATTTCTTTAGAATATATACCTACTAATGGGGTTGCTAGCCTAGTGGTAAGGGGTTGCACTGCCAACTGAAAGGCATGTAGTTTGAATCCACCAGATGCTCTGTGAGAGAAAGAAGGGCACTCTCTCCCCATCTCATTTACAGCCTCTGAAAACCCTCTGGAGGGTCAGCTATGAGTTGGTTCCCACTTGACAGCACATAACAACAACAGTGGGGGTTACTGGGTCCAATGGGATTTATATTCCAACTTCCTAAGGAAGTGACAAACTGCCTTCCATAGCGCTTACACAATTTTTCATTCCCATGTAAAATGGAAACTACCACCAAAATTTGAAAACCTAGAAGAAATGGACTTCAGTTAGTTTATCCAATAGACACCACCCTTGCTCCTTTTTTAGTAACAGCTCAATTCAATGCAGAACAGATTGACGGCCAGGTTTCCGAGGCTGTGTCACAGGCGGAGAGAGCCCATCTTTCTTCTATGGAGCCCCGGATGGATCTGAGCCTCCAGGGAGGCCCTACCTCTGGGTTAGCTGCACAGCTCCCCGGGTTACGCCTCCAGAGCTCCCCAAGAAACTGTCAGTGGAATGACACAAAATACCACCAGAGGGCGCTCCAGACACATGAATATCTGTATTCAGATGGATGGAGATGCAAACCTCAAACTTCAAGTTAATTCTGACTGGGTTTCTGAGGCTGTAAATTTTACTAAAAGGAGCTGGTCTATTTTCTCCTGAGGAGTTTCTGGTGGATTTGACGAGCTGGAGATACTCGGCCTTTTGGATAGCAGTGCAGCTCACTATGAACTAAGCTTCCATGGAGAAGTGAGGGGCAAACAGGAATGGGGTGAGGGCCTGTCCTGCAGCTTGACTTAGTGGCTGACAGAAATGTGTCTCTACACCCCAATCTCTATCATAACCACACTGACACTCAACTCAGGGTGAGTCGGGGTTGTCTTGAGAAACAAGTCCAAACAGGAAAGGCAATGTGAAGACAATTCTTAGGGTCCCACTCACTCTGGCCACCACTTCTGACCACTGCCAGAGGCTCCCTGAGACCATCCTCGGCAGCACGCCACCAGAAAGCTGCAATTCTGTGGGGCACATGCTATGACCACCTCTCCTCTGCAGTGAGAAACTTGGGCTCCTTGCTCAAAGCTACACCAGTGACCCTCAACTCCAGGGCTCTTCACAAAGAGCCAGAATAAAAGGGCCACAGGCTCTGCTCCCCACAGTCTTCTCCGTGCCCGGAACAGTGCCTGCCACATGGTAGACACTCAATACACACGTGGGGAAATGAGGCAGAGGAACCTCGGAGCAAGGGTACAGGGAAGAATGAAAGAAAAGGAGCTTCGGGTCCTGAATAACCAAGGTTTTAAAAGACTGAGGGAAAGGATCCCATATGATGTTCTCCACATGATGAGGCAGGAAGGACCATTCTAAAACCAGCAGAAATGCCAGGGGCAAGTGTCCTGAAGCCGAGCTGTGTGACACTCTGTGAGTTAACACAGCAGCGCTCTCCCTGTGTGCCCCATGTAGACTCCCCACAACTCATCTCTCGTAGAATTGGGGTCTGTGGTGACGTGGGAACCATCATTCACCTGACAGGCTCTTTTCTTCTTCCCTTGGTCTGCCTGGGGTCAACTTTCTCAACATTCCTGTAATTATATAGTGCTGGCGACAAAGCAGGGGTGGGCTCCCACTGAGGGGCTGTCCACAGAGACAGAAACAAGACCACTGTGGCATGCTTCACTCCTGCTAAGTGCTCAAGGAACACCCTCTCCTCAAGCTACAGTGGGGTTTGAAGAAAATCCCACCAGGGTACTGGTATTCTCCTGCACCCACACATGCCAGGCAGGGCAGACAGGGCCAGGGTTTGCTAATCAAGTAAGTTCTGTTTGCTTGGAGAGAAGCCTATGGAATGAAGCCTTTATGGACTATTAGTCTATTTACCTGGTTCATTAGAGCACTCCCTGAACACTTGATCCAGTGTCACCAGTGAACAATGCCACGCAGGGGGTTCAGTCCACACTTGGGCAGGTCAAGGCCAGGTCAGGCTGTGGACTGATAGTCTCTTGGCAACTGGGACAACAGCCTGACCACACCTTGGACATCAAGCAAGCAGAGGTTGCCCAAGGCTATCTGAGAACAGGAGCCAGCAACTCTCTGAGGGAACAATTCCCCATGCAGGTCCTGCTGGGGAGAGCACTGTGGTTTTTTCAGCCCCTGACACCCAGAACCCAGCTTGCTGCTGTCAAGCCGATTCTCAGCCCAAGTGAGCGCATTGGGCGTCTTTTCTTGGCTTGAAATCTTTACAGAAGCAGTTCTCCATCCAGGCTGCTGCTAGGAGGCTTGAACCTCCAACCTTTCTTTTTGTAGGTCAGTGTGAACTGTGCCATCCAGTGGCAAGGACTCACAGTTTAAGTTGAATGTTGGTCAGAGCACTGCCTGGCTCAAAATGTAAGTAAGCTTGCACTTTTCACAGCTCAGTCTTCAAGAACCATCCATGGTGAGGAGAAGCCTTAAGAAGCTACAGGAGTCCTGAGGCACAGAGGACCCTGGTCAAGACTTGAGAACAGGCAAGGGAACACCAGGGCTCCGCAGCAGACGCTCATTTAGTGGTGGTTGGGCTCGGAAAAATGAAGCCTAGCTCCAAGACCACAGGCCTGCCATTTGCCACCTCTGCCATTTGGTTAATGACTAAACTGCACACTGGAGGCCCCCTCTGCTCGTCGGAGACAGGGCCTACAGAGCCAAACTCTCACCTTTCTTGGCAAGTCCTGCTCTTTTCAAGCCTCTCTAAATCGTTGTGGCATTTTCAGAGGCCCTTTGGGTGCACTGTGCCCGCTCCGTGTGCGGGGTACACAGATCTATCTGACGGAAGCTTTTGGATGCTCCTGTGAGTTGGTGGCACCAGTTCAGAGAGGGGGACTGGACAGGGCTTGCGGACCTGCCTGAGGCCCCATGGCCAGCAAAGGAGCTGAGCAGGAAATCTACTTTCCCTGACAGGTGGTGGGCTCTTTCTGTGTAGTCTGTACCCCATCAGGAGAAAGGCTCAGCTCGCTGCTACCCAAGAGTTTAGGGTTTCCCTTGTCACTTCCTCCCTCTCCTTCCTGTGAAAAGTGCGGGGGTCTCCAGATGGCACTGCGGGGGTGACACCAGAGACACTGTCACGAAGAAGTGTTTACCACATGTCCCCCAACAATCATCCCCACGAAAGACTGAAGAAGCACACTGAACCCAAACCCCATGTTGGTCTCAAGACACAAGGGCCCCGTGTGAGGCAATGGGCTCTGTAAAGACAAGCCTCATCTGCCCTGTGTATGGCTGCACTGGTGGGGACAGGAGACGCTCAGTCTGCCCTGTAGGGAGGACACCCCCTCCCCAGTGGCAGGGTCCCAGGACCACCTACCTTTCAAGCTCTCCTGCAGCACAGGCACGAAGCTGGCCAGGCGGGGGCCCTCACCATGATTCTTGGCAGGATTCTCAGCCCCTGGGAGGGTCAGGGCACCCAGGTGAAGGTTAACAAGGGTCAAGTCATTACTTCCCACCTGGGCAGGAAACAAAGAACAGGAAAAGGCTCTGGTTACCTGTAGCAGTTACAGCTGACTGGTAAACAGCTTCTGCACAAAGCTGACAAGGGTCAAGAAAACCAAGCCAGTCCACACCCACGCAGGGCTTCATCTTTCAAGGCTGTAATGTAAATGTGCAGGCTGCCCAGGACGGAGGCTCGGGGTCCAGGTGAGCACCCACAAATCAGCCCTGAGCACCCCTGCATCACACAGCCACTGAGGGCTTTGTAATGCTGCAGTTCTGTTTGTCACGGCTACCAGCACGGGATTCTGCTGAGATCATGGGCCACCCAGTCGGCCTTGCTGTGAGGCTGGAAGGTCTGAGCCTCTGCCCTGTGTGGTCATGTCAGAACTGCTGCTTTATACGTGAATAAAGGGAAACCCTCTGTATGTACCTACAAAGTTATAAAGGAGATTCTCAGCTGAGGATCATGAGTACAAGCATCAGGAATGGCTAGGGCTATATGTGGACAGAACACTGTCAACACTGCAGCTGCAGGTGTGAGGGCTCCTGGCCGCGACCACAAACCCACAGCGGAGTGACAGGTGTGAGCAGGGCCTCCATGTGAGTGTGCCAGACACCCTCCCAGCACCACAGGCACAGGTGTCCCAGTGTGTTCTGGAGCTCAGACCGCCCCCAGCTCCTGCCAGGAAAGGGCTGAGGTTTGTGGCTGCCCAGGGGCTCTGGCTGCCTGGATCACACAAAACAGGGCAGGGTCAGGACCCTGTCACTGCACAAGGAGGGGCCAGGAGTCCAGCTGCTGTAGACCTGGGGATTCATTCTGCTTCCTGCTTCTCCTCCCTCCCACTGCCCACCCAGTGCCCAGCTTCTACCAGTGGGGCTGAAGGGGCAGCCCAGGCCAGCCTGCTCGCTGCTCCCAGGTGGGTGAAGGCAGCCTCATCCCCTCTCCTGGCCCTCCACATCCAGAGTTCCCATTAAGATTTCTCCTTCACCCCCACAAGGAAGGATCAAGACAGAGAACAGTCCTGTTGCCCTCAGATCCCCAATGCTCAGCAGGCTGGCAGATACCCGAGGACGTTTTGAGGGGGAAGGGAAAACCAACCCACATTTTTGGGTTCTGCATTAGAAAGTCCTATAAGTCCTATTGTGTATGTTTGTGTGGTATTGTTAGCAGCTAGTCCTCTGTCATGTAGTGGTCCCACACACAGTGAGAGCAGACAGCTTGGATCCACGGGATTTTCAGCAGCTGTGATTTAGAGATAGCCAGGCCTTTCCTCCTAGTCCACCTGAGGTCTGGCAGGCCAACTGAAAGCTGTTCAGCATGACAATGATGGCTCAGCTTCCACGGACAGACAGACTGGCTGCACGCGAGGTGCTCTGGCCAGAAGCCAGATCCTGGCTGCCTACATGGAGATGCAACCTTTACCACTGTGCCACCAACAACCCTATGTTTGGGGTGTGGGGAGTCGTGGTTGTGAGCCATTGAGCTGGAAACTGACCAACAGCTGACCCTCTAGTGGGTTTTCAGAGGCAGTAAACTGCACAGGATGAGACTGTCCATTCTTTGCCTGACGAGCAGTTGGTAGATTCGAATGGCATGCCTTTGGGACTGCAGTGCAACTTCTTACCACTAGACTACCAGGGCCAGGAATTATTAAAAATGCTCTCAGGCAACACTGATGGGTCATTTCTAGAAGTCAGTAGCCACCTGTCCCTCTGCCAGGCCCCACTGCAGTCATCCGAGCTGGACACCCTGCAGTCCTCTTTCTGTCCCCTCCCTGATCAGGGCCACCACTAGACACAGAAACCCAGGGGTGGGTTCTGCCCCACCCTGAGGGACATAAAATCACATGAAAATGAAGAGGTGGCAGTCACAAACAAGTTTAGAAAGACAAAGATAATTTTCCTTTTTAGAGAAATGCATGCTGAGGACAAGACAAGGAGGTACCTTGAAGTGCGCGAGGAAAGGGCTGGGGCTCACGGGCTTCCCGTGCCCGTTGCCCGGCGTGCTTTCCTGCGAGGGGGTGTCTTTCAGCTCCATTCCAATGGCGGAGTCCCATAGGAAGCCCAAGTACCCCACACCCTGCAGGGGAGACGGCAGACAAGGTTGAAAATTGTGTCATTTGGGGGTTCTCATAACTATCATCCTGGAAAAGGTCAAACTGGGCTGTTCCTTGGAGGCAAGGATTCTAAGGCTCTGTCTAACATACTTTGGACATGTTGCAAGAAGGGACAGGTCCTTGGAGAGGGACATCATGCTTGGTAGGGTGGAGGGACAGTGCAGAAGGGGAAGACCCTCTATGAGGTGGATTGATTCAGTGACTGGGGTAATCGGGATGGATGTGTCGGAGACGGTGCGATTGGCACAGGACAGAGCAGAGTTCAGGGATGTTGTACACAGGGTCGCTATGAGTTGCAAGCGACTCGATGGCACATAACAACAACAACAACAATATCACCATCCTCCTCCTCCAGAGGCTCAATTCCTCCAGCGGGGAGATGGTGGCAGGAGGTGAGGGAGATGAGAAGCAGCAGCACTCTCTACCTCTTGGTCCTCAAGGTCATGTGCACAAAAGGACACATGGTTCCCCCAGCACATTCCTGCTCCCCCTCATGTTCCCCCTGGTCCACTTCACTCACTGCCAGTTCTGGACTTTCTATTCAACCAGGCTTGTGGGAGAGATCACCCTAGGCAGAGTTATCCTGGGAACATCGCACCCCTATTTGCCACACTGCTATTTCAGAAAGGTTAAGTAACTTTCCTGAGAGGCCCTAGCTGGTCAGTGAGCTGAGAATGAATTATGATATCCCAAAGTGTGGCTTTTGCCTACTGGTTAGGTGCTGCTCACAACAAGGCCTGATGCTGGGAAGATGGGCTGGTGGACAGTCTTGTAACCCAGAACATTTGTTGACCATGGAGGCTGGGAGCTGAGCTCGCCTCTCAGTCCCTCCTGCTTTACCAGGGGAGAGCTCCCTGTTCTGGGTGTACAGTCAGCCTTCCTTGGACTATTTATGCATGTGTATCACTGGGCATCTGGCCAACCCCACAGTTCTAGGCACTTCCGGAGAGAAGGAAGTGGGGTTCTTCACCTGTGGCCCAAGACATGCACAGACTATGCAGACTCCTAGGCCTCAGGCTGAGACCAGCCACCATGGGACTAATGTCTGCCACTGAAGCTGATCTTACTTATCTGGTCTCCTGTCTTTGATGAAGCACTGTTCCAAGCAGTCCCTTTCTGAGTTAGGTGTCTCTTGGTGACCTCAGATCTTGGCTAGACATCTGGTTCCTAGTTAAATGCTCAGCAAACATTAGCTAGATGAATAAAGTCCCAATAGGCTCCGTCCTAGGCAGTCAAGGGCCCTCGGCAAGTGGATGGGACCACACTGAGGTTTAAGCCGAACCACAGAGACCCATGAGCTCCAGAGTCAAGAAATAAACTGTGTCCCTGCCTCACACCTTCCCCTTCACTCAAAAACTATGCTGAATCCCTTGCTCCTGTGGTGGTGAACATATTCGGGAAGAAACATTTTTCATCTGTTACATAAAGAAAGCCAGTGCAGGGTGGACCCCGAACCTAATCTCTTCTTAATGCTGTATGAAAGGACCAGAACAGACACAGGAACAGGGTTCCCAGGGAGGAAGACAAGACACCAGGTGAGGGTCATCACAGCATCAGACAGAGACTGGAGCTACAGGTAGGAAGGACCAGCATTGCTGAGACCTTGGTTTGGGCTCTTTACTTCCTGAATGGTGAGAAAATAAATTTCTGCTCTTTATCTCCACCTGTTGGCAGCACTAAATAACAAAGACCCCTGGTGAGCAGGTGAGGGGCAGTGAGGATGGGTCTCAGAGGTGCTGTGTTGTCAGCCAGAGACCTGCTGGCTTTAAACTGCCTCCAGGTGGACTAATTGTGGGAAGGGGAAATGCCCTTCTCTCCACCTCAACTTCTAAGAGATTCTCCTGGTCAGAGAGCGTTCCTCTGCCACCTTGTCTGACGGGCACAGTGACGTTCCTTCATGTTGGGGCTGCCTTGAGGACCACCATGCAGCTCGGTCCACGTGCTGGCTCATTGAGCCTGGTACCGCAGCTGTTCAGAGTACTTAGTTAAAAACAGAGCTGGAATGCAGGAGCAGGGTTTGCCAAGCATGTACTTTGTCTTGAGTATTTCAAGATCTTTAAGAGCTGGGACTGAGCTCTAGGTAGGAATGGGAAGGCTGAGGACTTAGTTACACCCATGTCCTGGTTCAGAGGTACGTCAAAGGAACCTCTCTCCTTATCTAAACTTCAGTCTTCTTTGTGTAAAAGAAGGTGAATCTGATTTGCTCTGTCGGCTTAAGAAGGCTGTCCTCCACTCAACGTTTCCCAACTATACTGGCAATTAATCTTCTTATAATGGCATTTTCAATTGCTTCCTATGTATCTGAAAGTTGGGCAATGAATAAGGATGACAGAAGAAGAATCGATGCTTTTGAATTGGGGTGTTAGAAAAAGACTATTGACTATTTCATGGATTGCCAACAAATAAATGCAATTAGGGTGCTCCTGAGAGATAAGTATGGGGAACTTGTCTCACATACTTTGGGCATGTTGTTTGGAGGACACTCTGCTGAGAAAGGTGGAAGGTCAGAGAAAGAGGGAAAGACCCTGAACTGATGGGCTGACACAGTGGCTGTGACAGTGGGTCAGTGGCCTGACACGTGATGCATGATGTCGCCAGAGGCCCTTCCTCTAGAGCTAAAATAACCTCAAATTCATTGCCCTCGACACACAGCTGACCCTCTGGTGGGTTCTTGGAGGCTTTAAACTTCATGGAGACTTCCCACTGTTCTCCTGAAGAGCTGTTGGTAGATTCAAACTTGCAGAGAGGCCTGACCTTTCAGCTAGCACCACCGCTTTGTGGACAACCTGCATTTACAGGACTTGCATGTCATATGATTTTGAACTCATGATTAGCTATTAAATGTATTGTTTAAACCTCAAATTCCAAAGACACTGTATACTCTGAGTAAAGTTCTAACCCTAACCCTAACCCTAACCCTAACCCTAACCCTGAACATGGTGTGTAAGAGTGAAAATGTACCTCATACAGAGTTACAGCATTAATTATGACTATAAGGGGATATATGAAAATCCCAAATTATAATCTGCTTAAAATCATGTATGAATTTAGGTAGATTTGAAGGTTTTGGCTAATGACTGATGGGTGCTCAACAAACTTGGTGGAAGACAAAATGATGACAAAGGGATTATGGAGATAAAAGCCACATTACCCCATTTGCTGCCTAGACCCTCTCTTCTCTTTGGATCTCTCTTCTCCTCCCAACACCTCATGCTCCTATTCCCAGCTGAGCAGCCAATCACATTTCCCATCTATGTATGAGCAGGAACACAGAATTGCTTCAAGGATACCAGCAAGATAAATTTTAGAACACTCTTGGTTGGGGAGAAAGCAAGTTTGAATACAACAAGGGGAAAGGCCTGATTTGCCACGGACAGTACCTTTTGGAGCTGACTTGAGGGTTTCTCAGCAACAACAGCCTTCCAGCATCCCCGGGGCCCCTTCCACTTGCGGATGTTGGGCAGGACTGGCTGGTTGAGCTCCATACAGAACTGCAAAGACAGATACAACTCAGTGTGTGTTCCTGCCCGCCCCGATTGATGGAGACAAGTAGGATTTGGGCCCATCATCCTTATTCAGAGACTTACAGAATGTCATCCCTATCTTTTCAAACACCAGGATTCTGTGATGACCTGGACAGTGAAAACAAGCAACACAAGTTACGAAGCAAAGTGGACACATATGAAATGCAAAATCATTATCTGAGGAATTTCAGATTGTAGAAATGAGTTCTTTGTAACATTCTTGCCCATATACATTTGGGTAAGAATTTGAAAACTCAAAGAGAATGGTCAGAATCCTTATCCTTGTAAAAGTCTGAGGATACTAAGGGTGCCTAGTTCAGCATCAACTCCAATGGGAGGAGGGAGAAAGATCACTACATGGTCATGTTTCTTCCTTCTTGAAGTTTAGCTCTAACCACCATCTGCCATCAAGTAAATTCTGACTCATGGTATCAAAGTAGAACAGACATAAATCAACCAGGCTTTCTTCTGAGATACTACTATTATTGTTGTTGTGTGCCATTGAGTTGGAATTCACTCATAGTTGACCATCCAGTGTGTTTCCAGAGACTGTAAATCCCATGGTTAGGAGAGTGCCTATCTTTCTGCTACAGAGCAGCTGATGGATTTGAACTGTGTGGCTTTGGGTTGACAGAGCACTCTTTACCGCTAGGCCACGAGAGCTCCTTCCAAGATATTACTATCTCCAAATCTTGTTTGCAGCGGAGTGCATTAACTATTTCTACCACCAGGGACTTCAAAGCTTAGCTTAGAGGGAGCACAAAAGCATCCCAGCTTCATTGTGATCTGCCATATTGCTCATTAAAGGTTTCATCTAAGAGCGTTCTGCTGTGGTGTGTGGTCACTGCACCTCATGTCTGTGTGGCATATTCCACCCAAACTGTGTGGGAATCATAAAGCTACCTTATCATGAGGGAAAACACAAAACCAACACAGGCCAGGTTAGAAATGGGAGTCCCTAAGTAAAGATGTACAGCCGTACTCCCTAGTTCATACCCCAGTACAACTTCTCCTCTAGGTCTTGGTTCTGTTGAGGAACCCTGAGAATTGGTCAGATGTTTAGCTCAGTTTTCTAGATCCTTCTATCTAGCACTGCCCTTATTGGTGATACCCTCTTCCTCTTCACTTATAGGTCTCTGGGAAGATGACCCTCACCTTTCTCCACCCAGTCTCTAATGAGGGCCTGTCTCCTCGATTTCTTTCTCAACTCATTACCAAGTTCTCTCTTTAATGAACTGTGATTTACTAATCTTATTTTGTTCCAATTTCAGCTTAATTGCATCCCAACAACTCCCAGAGCTGTGTCTACAGCTATGAACTCTCTCTCTGTTGAGTATGAAATTTACCTCCAAAAAGTCTATTTGAAGCCTACCATGGACTGCCAAAAGAACTAACAAATCTGCCTTGAAAGCAAGACAGCCAGAGTGATGAGACTTCATCCCACATATTGCTGATGTACTATCAGGAGGGACCAGTCTCTGGAAAAACACATCTGCTTAGAAGATCAGAGAGTCGGTAAAAGAGAGGAAGACCCTCAAAGAGGTGGACCAACACACTGCCTGCCACAATGCGCAAAACATAGAAGACGATCTGGAGATGGTGCAGGGCTGGGCAGGCTTTTGTTCTGTTGTACATAAGATCTCTGTGAGCTGGAGCCAATAATACCTAACAAGAGTGACAGTATCTGCAGGTCCATAGAGAACCTCAAGCCAAAAGAAGTCATATGATCTCCCACTACCCATCATAAATCCTGCTCTATAGTGCCTATCAGTTCATGGATCTACTGTCCACCTTGTGCTCTGACTCCTTCCTCTCCACCCACATCAACTTCCCATCAAGTCCACTGATGCCACTATCACATGTGTTTGGATTCCCACTACTGTGACCCTATTTCAGAGTCTCATCTCTCTGGCAACTCCCTGTCATCACATTCATGAAATCTCTTTGCCTTTTTAATAACTTATTACATATCTGAGAGCTAGACAACTTCTCATATGACAATTAGGATGACAGAAGAATTGATGCCTTTCAGCTGTGGTGCTGGAGAAGCGTACTGATTATCCCATGGACTGCCAAAAGAACAAACAGATATATCCGGAAAAAGTACAGCCAGAGCCCTCCTTGGAGGCAAATATGGTAAAGCTTTATCTCTCATACTTCGGGCTCGTTTCTAGGTGAGGCTATTGCTTGGAGAGGGACATCATGAGCAGAAAGGTGGAGGGTCAGTGAAAGAAAGGAAGATCCCCAGTGAGATAGGATGACACAGTGACTGCAGCAATGGACTCAAGTATATCATAGATGAAGAGGATGACACAGAATGGGACAGGGTTCAGGTCTGCTGTTCACAGGGTCACTATGAATTGCATTCACCTTGATGGTACCGAATAACAATGACAACGCTGTCATCCAGTCTGCCTCCACCTATCCGCTAAGTAAGTTGTGACAGCCATGTAAATGCACCACCTCTATGTTCTCAGGGTGTGTGTGTGACACAAGAACGCACAGCATCAATAGCATTTGGGGACTTTTAAGAAATTCTCAGGCCTGGTCCTGGACCTAGCAAATCAGAATCTCTGGAGTGGAGGCTAGCAGCCTGTATTTTAACTAGCATTTCAGGTGATTCTGATGCACACTAAGGCGTGTCAGTTGTAGTGGCTGGGGTGGTGGTGGTCTAGGTCCTCCTTGAACCTGTGCTCTGATGTTGAAGCACTCGGCTAGCTAGCCTTCCGCTATCAGCACCCTCAGGCAACGTCATTCTGTAAAGAGCTGTCCTATTGCCTTGTAGAATGTCCACTGGCAGGGGCTGCCAGAGGACAAGGCATAAAGGCCTTGTCTTTGCCCTCACACCGTAAGAAAGGAGGTGAGAGACAGGTCAATACCCTGTCAATAATCTCTACAGACACATGTTGTGGAGAAAAAAACTCACCAGAAAAGGGGAAGAGAGCACTTCTTTAGACACGGGCTATTATAAGAGTCGAATGGTATAAACCATTAACATGCTCTCCTACGTAAATTTGGCGGTTTGAGTCCATGCATGGCAGAAAGGCCTGGGGATATACTTGTGAAAAATCAGTTCCTGCAACCCCTAGGAGCACAGTCCCACTCTGGTACCCAGGGGCCGCCATGCGTCAGGATGACTTGAGGGCACCTGGTTCATTCCAGGAGTTAGGCTGCTTTTAGTGGTGTAAGCATCTGTGTCTCCACAGCAGCGGATTCCACAAGGGCAGGAACTGTGTCAAAACCATCTCTTTAGCTCCACACTTAGCACAGAGCATGTCCCCCAGTAACACTCTCTAAGCATTTGCAGAGGGAATCAGCAAACTCTTTAAATACAGGAATGGCAGCTGGAAAGGAGAACTTCTCCTTGGAGCTGATCATCTGGTTAAACCCTCTTCACCGTGGGCCCCCTGATGCACTCTGTGGCTCAGCTGTCCAGGCACTTGTTCTTTCCTCCTCCGGGTGGTGACCGGTGAGAGCTCTTGGCTCTACTCCCCACACAGCCCAGAGGGATGCATGCTCAGCAGCCACAGACAGGGGGCTTCGCCCTCCATGGTGCTCACAGCCAGATGCTCCTGGCCAGAAGCGTCCTTGGATGGGAAATGCAGCCGGAATTTATTGACTGTGATGTTAGGTACTCAGCGAGAAAGTGCACTTGACAAAGCAGCCAATTTCCTGCTGGGGAATTTGCTTGCTGAGTGATCCGTAAAGCTGAATCCAGGAATCACAGCAAAGGAGACCAGTTCTCTAATGCCTGTCTAGTGCCTGCCTCTCTTCCCTCCATGCAGGGCTCCCAAGCTCAACCGCATCACAACCTCCCAGGAGGTGCTCCAGTAAGCTCTAAGGGGCGATTAGAGCATCCTGGGTGTGGCTGAGCACCTGGGGACAAGGTGTGCTAGCATGCTCGGACTGCAGGTTATCTGCAGTCACCTGATGGCACTTTGGGGGAAAACTACAAACTGTCCTAACCCCTCCTGACCCTCAGGAGGACCTTCAGATACCTGACGACAACAAAACTTGCATTCATATCTACCTACCCTAAGCCCCACTTCAGCCCGAACATGTCCATATCCTGACCTGTTCTGCCAATGGCTCTTCCCTTTCAGGGATCATGAGAAAGGAAACACACTATGTTCTCCAGGTTCACCACCGTGCATGATGACTTTTGGGACTAAGGCCATGCATGCTCTTCAAAAGGTGGTCCTCAGGTCACCATCACCAGCATCACCTGGCAACATGTTATAAACACGGATTCTCAGGCACCACCTGGATGTGCTAAATGGGAACCTCCAAATGCGTGACCCAGGAATCTGTATTTTTAGCCCCTGCAGGTGGTTTCCACGAGTCAGAACTGTTTCAATAGCAACTAACAACAATAAGGACAGGTGCTTCGGCTGTCTGAGAACTGCTGAAAGAGGAAAGGGAAGACATTCTCAGTTTCCTTTGTTTTTTAAATTTTATGTCAGCTGGCTTCATATTTACAAAACTAAGAGCTAATCTCCAAAAGATCGAGAGAACAATAATCTCTGAAGCTGGAGAGTTGTTGTATTTTGGAAACCTGAACAGTATCAACATCTTGTTCTTGAGGACCTGTCCGCACCTTGCTTCTGCTATTACTATATTTTTTGGGAAATGAACAATTTAAGGAAATAGACAAAGGGCTTATGGTTGAGAGCATATTCAAAGTAAAAGGTAGGAATTTACTTGTATTTCTTGGGCTGAAATAAGTTCTGTTGACTGTTGGTACTCAGAATTCACAGCAAATTAAGGATGGGAGTGTTTTTTATATCTTGGCTACACTAAGCATGGTCCAGGGACCAGCAGTATGGACCTCACGGGGGGACCTAGCCCAGCCCTGCTGCATCAGGATCTGCATTTTAACAGGACAACTGGGTGGGGTCGGGGAGGTACACAGCCTGGTAAGCTCAAGAGCTGGCTGGAAAGCCTTCCTATTGTCAGGTTCCAGGGCA